TGTTGGTGTCCAGGACGGTGAAGTCCCTGGTGGGTTCTCGGGGGAAGAAGGGCTTTTCATAACTTTTTGATTTTATTTATTTATTTCTTTGGAGTTTTTTTATGCCGTCCCATCGCTTAAAGCCTTAAATAATAGAGCACATTCTTCAGGAGATGTGAGAAATCTGTTTGAACACAGTAAATATTTATAAATATTTTCCTTCTCTTTCCATAAAAAGAATAAGGAGGCATTATTACGCAGGGAAGGCTGACTGGCCAGGTACGTGTTCCACATTCACAGGAATCCGGAGTACCAAGGAAATGCAACCCAGTTGGAAACAGGAAAAGACTATCAGGGTGTGTGAGTTCCCCCAGCAATGGCCACTTGGCACAGCAGGACCATTCGTTTACATTAACAGCTAAACAGGACAAAGGCTTTCGTCAGAAGTAATCCGCTCCTTGCCTCTCGCCAGCCAAGTCTGATTGCGGCAAATTTACGCAGCTTCAGTTTTTACATGGCAGTTTCATGCTGAAGTCTCTTTTGGCCGAAGTGTGCAACTTTCTGCTCTGACTGTCTGAGCATGTACAGAGTGCCTTTCTTTTACCTGAGGACTGAGGGCCGCCTGTCAGGCAGCGACATCAGGAGCAATGCCTCCTTCCAGTCAGGGTGCCTGCAGAGCCCTGAGCCATGATGATTGTTTTAAAAACACACACACTCCAACAATGTGGTCCTAAGGATGACCACACATCTGTATGCCCATTGACTTCAATGGGACGCAGGCATGCTCGCGATTGCAGCCCGTGGTCTGCCCTGAAGTCCCTTGACAGCATGTCTGACTTAACAGCTTCTTTTGCTCCTCTTGCCTTCTTCAGAGTAACCTGCTTGGGCCTAGCTGATTCCAGCCATTGCCAGAAACCCCTGAATGAAAACACGGTCTCGGGTTGAGGGGTACCGAAGGATGGAGACCCCTGAAATCTCTGACTGCCTCTCTCTGCACTCGCAGCTTGCATAACACATGCGTCTGCCGCAGGAACTAACACCCAGCTGTTGGTATAAAGTTTCACTCCAGTCCTTTTCACACAAGCCGGCCGCTAAGCCCAGGAAATTCCCTTCTCTGCGGCCAGCATTTCTGGATTGGCAGAAGGGAGCTGGCTTTAGGTAACAGCCACCTGATAACCTTTCTAGATGTCCAACAGGTGGCAGGTGACCCATCAGCCTTTCAGAGGGGAACAAACGCAAGTTATTTAAGATACGGCTTCCTTCTCCGATTTACATGGAGCTTTTCTGCAGAGCACAAAAGCCACCGTACAGTAATTCCTCTCTCTCTCCTTTCCTGGCACATCCTTGTAACTTGGATCATCAGGTGAGGTTGGGCCGGGGTTAGATTCCCAAGATGAAAGGTGCAGAGCAGGGCCCTGTGTCACAGCTGGGGTTTTCCCTTCTCATATTCCAGGCCACAGACATTTCCTTTGTGAAAGTTCTTCATTCACCAAAGTATATCCAATAAACTCAAGCACCACGCAATGAATTGCTTCTCCAAGACCGATGCTTTCAATGTGCTAAGCTTTTGATGGTAGCGATCTCCCTGTAGACCTCTGGCAAGGACAAGCCTTGGTCCCTGGCAAGGAGCGAGGCTGAGAATCTGTCTAGTACAAAGTCACACCATGTATTTAAATATCACCCACTTGGCTTGGCCCGAACCTACTTTGCCCGAGTGGCAGGCACAATCCATGTGCTGTTATTTTTTATGTTCGTCTGAAGATCTTCTTGAAAGTGGCAATTTAAGGGACTGCAGCTGACAACACGGTCTGTGTGGACATGGTTAAAATGATTGCACATGGACTTGCCCAGGAATTGGCAATGCTGACTGGACATTTGGGGACAGACTGGAGTTTGTTGCTACAGAATCTGTAAAATGAGGACGAAAATCTCTTGAGTTTCCTGTGGCTAAGCAGTCCATTGGTAGGATACACTGGAAATTCCGGTCGTTTCAAACAGCTTTACTTGGGGGTGAATTGCCCTCAATGAATACAAGCCAAAGGAATTTGAGGTTATTTGTAAACTTGTCCAGCACGTCTTTCTCCTTTCGCTATATTCATTAACATTCCCTTTACCCCAGCTGAGGAGCAGAGACAGAGCTTAATCTGAAGCAGAATGCTCTTAAGCACTGCAAAAGACCTGTTTGGAAATATGCGTGTCACACCTAACACGCGAGAGAAACACCCTGAACCTATGATCACAGAGGGTCATAACCTCACCTGCACTTCCCTGAACTAAGACGAAATCGCCCCCTGTCATTTTCCAATCATCTCCCGCCTCTTCACACTGAGGATTCATCACGGATCCAGAACTTCAGCCGAAATGTTTAGTTGTTTGGGGTGCATGTTCTTCTCTCTCAACCATAAATATAAAAATTTGGATCCTTCAATGGTGTGCAGAGGAAGGAATGTTTATGAGGTCATCTGGACGTGTCGAAGGACTCAATGGATGGAATCCACTTTTCTAGACAGCTCAGCAAGATGAGGCACCCAAGTGAGGAACCTTGCCTGGGCGAGCTGTACACAGAGCTGGCAAGGCCAACAGTGGGCTGAAGAGCTGCAGTACCGCCTCTGGCCATTCCACAAGGGGGCGCTGTAGCCCAGCCCTGCTGGATCAACCACTTCCTGCTTCCTGCAGTGGAAAAACAAATTGCCCCTGGAAGCTCACCAAGGTGATTGGCAGGAAGGCATGGCTCAGCCCTCTCCTGCTCTTGGACCCGGCCAAGGGCGACTGGGACGGATGTCGCCTCTGAACCTGACAGCGACGCACTGAGGAAATCGTAGCCCCCACCCCTCTTTCCCGGGAAATTCCAGCTCCGCTTCTTTGATCCAGCCCTGCAGACGATGTGGCTGAAGCCGGTCCCACAACCACGATCTTGGCTCGCGAGCGCAGAAGGAATGCGAGCTGCACTCCAGGGACTTAATAAAGGCTTTTGCAGGGCTGGTGCTGGGGCTTGTTGACTGCTCTTTGTCTTTATTCGTGTGAGTTTTTATGACATTCCCGCTCCCCCTTTGCAAACAGCTTCGCCAGTGCAGCTGTAGGAAAAGCAGTAGCTAAATATCACAGTGCAGGCAAACAGGCAGACAGCATGTGTTGTTTTAAAGCTGGTGTAGGCTTGCAGAGATGGGAATCGGCATGGCCTGCCCGTGAGGAGGCCTTTTCCTGCGTGCTGTGGTCACTCATTCTGCCTGATTCTCCTTCGTCCACGCTGCTCGGTTCATCCAGAGCTTCCAGCCTCCTCCAGCAGCCAATCCCAATCCTAACCCTCCCCGCAGGGTGGAGGAGCAAAGCCAAGGGAGATGCCTTCTGTACACTGGGACGTTCTATTTTCTGCTTTTTCTAGAAGATCAGAAACTTCCAGAAGCATCTGAACAGGACAGACTCTGCTGCCACTCAGAAGTGGCACTGTTTGCTGTGACAGAGGTGAAGGGTAAAGCTGGATGCTCGGCAGATTGCTCTGGGCAGTGTCTTTGCCACCTTCACCACAGCTAGCTAGCCTTCAAGGCCCATTTGCACCTCCGTCTGTCCCCTTCTCCCAGAGGGAAGAGCCTGGAAGCTGCCTGGAATCACTGCCTTCCAGCAGCTGGACCCAAGACTGCTCACAAAACTTCTGTATATCCCTAGCCTCATTTGACTTTCCTGTTTGCAAGTTGATTCAGGAGTTCCGCCTGGCTGAAAGGCAAGGAGGAAAATCCTCTGAGGTACACAAATTCCCAGGTGGAGGTCCAGGTATATGTGGAGCTTGGGCATGGCTCCTTAGAGCTGTCCACAAGCCTCACTTTCCTCTCCCTCCTCATCTTCTCTCTGCATCCGATCTGCCATCACAAACAGCCAGCATAACTGGGCACCGGTCAAGGTGCACTTCCAGCAGAGGGCCACAGACGAGAGCCCCCTGCTGCTCCTTCACCTGCCTCCTGCTCTGGCCCAGACAACAGTGGTGGTGAGAAGGAGGAGAAGTCAGTTCTTGCAGACTTTCTCACTGGCGCTTTGCCTGCCAAGCAAGCATGTGGCAGTGGTGAGGAGGCGAACATGAGGTGCAACTAGGGACTCGGTAGTGAGAAGGAGGGCTCACTGAGGAAGGGAGCCTTGCCCACGGACCCCCAGGAACCTGGAGCTGGCATCGATCCTGAAGCTAGTGGCTGCAGCAGATAGCAGCTTTCTGGACTGAGAGGCTCCACCCTGCCTCGTTCAGCGGTGGCGCAGGCGACAGCTCCTCCCCCTTGCAGCTACCCCGGGTTTCCCACTGCCTCTTCTGTCTTTTTTCCTTTCCAGAGGAAAGTCCATGAAGAAAGAAAAGCCGGAATAGCTGCACCAGGCCCTTTGACTGCTGGTTCGAGATGTCCATCTTGGACTTGGATCCTTGGCCTGGGTTCAGGTCTCTGTTCAGCCATGAAGTTTGTTTTCTGACCTTTGGCGAGTCATTCCTTCTTGGTCTCGCTGGGCTGCTGCGAGCACGAAACACGATCGCCCCAGTGAAGCAGTTTCTTCCCAAAGGCAAACGCTTGCTCTGTTATGCAACGCAGAGATGCGTAGGGAGGTCGCTGAGCCTCACATCTGGAGGACCGATTCTTCCGCAGTTCCAGCCAGTGCCCCCAGGGGGCTTGGACGGTCGTTGCAGGGAATTTCCACTGAATCGCAGCAGTCGCTGGTGCAGGATTAACTTGGCTATTTGAGCAATTGCTTGTGGAAAGAAGCATATCCCTGGAATGGCTAAATAATGGTGTGACCTGCAAATATTCTGGCAGGTGTTGTTACACTCATGCCCAATTCGAGGAGTGCTGGACTCGAGGGAACCTGGACCTGAGCTAGCATGACTCTTCTTATGCTCTTATGACTACAGCTTCCCCAGTCCCCGGACAATATGGATCGGGGATGATGGGCGTGGTACTACAAAATATCTGGAGGGCACTGGGGAAATCGTGAATGTCAATGTCGCTCTGTTGTAAACACAGCACCCCATTGAGAGTGTTCACAGGACCACATCGTTTAAAAATAATCTACTTTATTTCAACATTCTTTACAAAGTTGGTCAACTTGTTATAAATATCCTATCAGTGTGAAGCGACATTTGATAGACTTTTCTTTTTTAAAATAAACAACATACAAGGTTATGGCTACCGAAACCAGTCCTTTCCCAGATATCCTGGAATTGTATTCTCTGTGCACTCAAAACAATCCATGGTCTACTCTAGATGGGGCAGCGAGTGGAGCTACAGATCTTTGGACTTCAACTCCCAGCATTCTTGACCCCTAGCCATGTTGGCAGGTGCTTATGGGAACTGAAGTCCAAAATAGATCTACCTTCTGCTACCCCAGAGGAGCAGTTCATTGTCATTTATGTTCCATATGTACTTGGAAGACAAAGCACAACCTCTTGAGACCTGGAGGATTTCCTGGCAGCAGAAGGAAAAGAAAGGAATGTGTTTCTGCTTTCCCGGTTTGAGGAGCAGAGCCAGCTTGCCCGTCATTGATGGCCGTGCTGGTAGAAAAGATGGCGGAGCACCAAGAATTAAACTGAAAGGAAGAGTCCCCTGGGTTTCCTTAGAATGATCAGATTGTAGATCCTTTCATTTGGAAGGACCTTTGGAGATCATGAGGTCCAATCCCTGCTCAGTGCAGGATCTGCATTGATTGATTGATTGATTGATTGATTGATGTGTTTATTTTGCAGCCCACCTTTCTACCCAGGAAAATGGCACTCAAGGCAGTTTACACTCATAAATAAAACTTGAATAAAACAATGCACGGAGACACGAAAAAGCACAGCAGTAAAGGGACGGGGGCAGCATTCAATCCAACAGACCACCTGCACCACCCCCTGACAGAGGACCTCTCCCTAAATACCTCCACTGAAGGACAGCTCACCACTTCCCAAGGCTAGGAGCACGTTTCTCCCGAGGCTGAACAGAAATGCACTTCCTTGCCAGTTCCACTCACTGATTCTCGTCCAGCCCTCTGCAGAGGCCACATTTGCTGTGCCTTCTTCATGAAAGCCCTTTAGATATCTGAACGCCACTTTGGGCTCTCCTTAATCTTCTCTTCTTCAGGCTCTGAACGTACCCAGGTTGTTCAACCAATCCCTCACAGGGGCTTTTGCCTTAGGACACCTCACCTGGCAACCCACCTTATGTCAGAATGTTGCCTGAATTGATTGGTTGTCTCAGAAGTAAAGGGGCTGCGGACTTGCCTTGTTTAATGCTGGCTAACACTCAGCAGGTGGCCTGGAATTTCGACCGACACGCCGCAGCCTCTGGTTGGCTGGTGGCTATGGAGCTAACTAAAACTATGGTGGCAGAACAGAAAGACCTTCTCGTCCCAGTAATGCCTTCTGCAGCTCAACATTTCCCTAGCCGGTGGCACATTATTGGCTTCCACTCGCTGAACATAGAAAGGAGACTCTGAGATTGATGATGTCACACGACCTGCTTAGTTTTATTACTGGAGGAGGCAGTGAACAGAGAGGTCTATCACCTTTGATTCTGTTCTCCACGGAGCTCTTGAAGTGTGCAGGGCCAAGCTGTGCTTACTTGGGAGTAAGCCCCACTGCATTCAGTTAGACTTCTGAGCAAACATCTCAATGGCCCATCTCACAAAATGCTCAAAAGATATCTACAGAGATGGGGGGATCAGTAATGTCACGCTTTCTTTTTTCCTTAGTAGGGTAGGGTTTGGGTTTGGTTTTTCCTGGCTGGGGATCCATTTCCCAGCCTTAGACACCAGCCAGTGCCTTTTCGGAACTGCCTCGCCCTAGAGAGTTGCTTTTGGCTCCTCATGGAAATCAGTGTGAGTTACTGTTCATCTTCCAGGCTTGGAGACACATCTGGGGAAATCTTTCTGTGCATGGAGAACTCCTGCTGTGGGTTGGGCCGCATGATTCAGAATGACCCAAAGCATTCTCAAACGGCTCAGTGCTTGGCTTGTTGAAACAAACTACCCCGATGCCTTGTGCTGCTCTCACCAGCAGCGCCTGATGCCTCATTATTTAGATGCGCAAATATTTGCCTGGGAAACTGCCCCCCCTCCCCGCACACATCCTGGCAGGCTTCTCGGAATTGCCTACCAAATGGCACGTTGATCCATCTTTAGGGTCAGGCCATTTCTCAGCTACCCAAAGGTTCAGGACTGCACACGTGCTGGTAAAGATCACCAGATGTGGCCATGCCATGATCACTTCAGTGCAAGATCTAAAACGTAGCATTCTGCAATCTGCATAAATTACATTAATGTCCACGCTTTTTCTCGTTTTGCACAACTCATTCTGCAATGGTTACATTTCCCCCTTTTTGCACATCTTTGCTTTGGCATTTTCTAGTTGCAGGGAAGAGTTACGTAAGGCACTGATGCTCCACCCCTGAGCGCTGAACCATCTCATTTGGTTTCCCTTTGGATTCTAAGATTTCACATGGCCTGCATATTTTTAAGCATATTGTCACATCCCCAAGAGCTTTAGCTTTTGCTTTCTTTAGAAGAAAGCTTTGATCCTTCAGCAAAGAATCTGAGCTTTTCTATACATCTATACTGTTCTATACTCAGAACAAAAATAAAGAGCTTTGTTGGGTTCTCGCTTGTGCCATTCCAGGGGATCTCCTTGGGGCGAACCAACATCTTCTAGGAAGGCAGGTCTGGAGGAACCCAGAGAATGCAGGGACTTCCTTGCGTTCTGTGTATTGTCTCTTATACAGAGCAGCAAAAAGGAAGGAGGAGAGCAGAGGGAAGGGGTGAAAAGGCCCTTAGGCAACCACAGAGACCATGGAGCTCAACCCAGAGAGAGTTCTTCTGTTTGGTCCCTTGGCCCAGCACTCAGACCCAATACTGGCTGTTTTTCAGGGCCGGGTTGGATGTCCTACAGTACTGAAGCAGTTCTGGATCCTGCTGCCCTCCTGGGCCTGCCCCCTTTGAGTTTGGCCCTGCCTCTTTGGCCTCCAGTGTGTCAACTCTCATCAGAGGAAAGCCTTGGCTGTGCTCTGTCTTCCGGAAAGTTTCCTGGTCCACCAGCGTCCCGTTCTTGTATTTGGGGGGTGAGCCCTGGACATTGTGCTTGCCAGTCTTGTTACGCTTGTGGAGGTAGAAAAGCAAGGGGAGGATCAGAGCCAGGAGAAGGAGGATGAGGCAGATAGGAAGGATGATGCTGAACATATTGGCTTCAATGAAACCTAGCAGCGTCCCCTTTTCTGCTGGAGCTGCGCTGGTCGGCAGCCCTTGGTCTGCTCGGACTGTTGGCAGAACTCGCGGCTTGCTGGAATTCTGGCTGGGCTTCTCCGACTCTTGAGGCCGGGTCATAAATGTCTGGGAAGATGGAGTGATACTCTGGGAAGTGGGGCTGTGGCTGGCCTCATGGAGACTGGGTGCTTTGAGCAGTGTCACTCCGTAGGACGCTGAGGAGTTGAAGGCCTCGGTGGCATAGGTCATTGACTCTGAGGCAGGAGGGATCCCGTCAGCCACCAACTCAAAGAGGAAACTGTCTTTCTGGATACCTTTCTCAGGGTCGGCCATCTCCCCTATTTCTAGGGCAACTAGCCCTCTCTCCAGGTCGTGCTGGGTGAAGGCATCAATGGGGACAGGCTGGTTCTTCAGGTCACTGGAGACATTCACAAACTGGCCGCTTCGGGGTGCTTGGAGGATTTTGAACTCTGGGACACTCTTTGTTCTGTTGGCCAGCTCACTTGCATCAAGAATGCTGGTATCGAGCTGGATAGTAGTTCCTCTTGGCCAAAGAGCCTCTTGCTGAGTTTTGACCAAGGCTTTGACCATGACATGTACCACCCCCGATATATTGACCTCTCCTGATGTGGCAAGGAACTGGAATTCATCTTCAGAGGAGGCAAACTCTGTAAAACTGAAGGTCACTTCTCCATCATCCACCTGATTCTGTGAAAATTCTGTCACAGTCTTTCGGTTGACCTCGACCTGGCCAAATTGTGGTTCCTTGATAAGCCTATACAGTGTATTTTGGTCTGGTTGGTCAAGAGACCCAAGAAGGTGATTGTGGGAGATTGAGGCCTGGTTCAAACCCTGTTGTATCTCCAAAGTGGTCTGATCTGTTGCCCAAGTGAAAGCTGGGAGAACCATTATTTTCAGAGAGGTGAAGATGCTCGGGTTGTTTCCATCACTAATGGCAAGGTCTATGGTTCCAGCAGAGCTAGTTCCATTGGCAATGAACATTAAGTGTCCCGCATTGATGTCTGCTTGAGTAAACTGAGTTATAGGCGTCTGCTTATCATGGACGTTGATCACAAAGCCGCCTGGTGACCCAGAGAGGATGTCATACTTGATTTCTTCAGGGGAGCTGTCAGGGTCCTTGACATTCAACTGTTCTTGGGAGAGTGCAATGGAAGAACCTTGGAGGACCTGCAGAATTTGTCCTTTGCTGACCAGCCGTGGTGACCTCTCATTACTGTCACTCACTGTAATGTTGAAAATTCCAGAAATGACAGATTCCTTTTCTTTTTCTGGGGGTTGAATAGATCCCACAGTGTTGTGTCGGAGCCAGGCACTAAATCTGAAATGATCATCCAGGGTTCCAGACCCGTGGTGGGAATATTCCAAGCCACCTGCAAGAAGGTCAGACTGCAGGAAATAGGGATGCTTTCTATCCACGGGTCCATCGGGGACAGACAGGGTCCCATAAGTGGGTAGCTCTGTAATAAGGAATACCACGTTATACGATGCTCTTTCAGAATCTGGTTCTCTGCTGAGGAGGTTGGAAGCATCCAATAACGAGACATTGATCACAGCACTTTGAGCTTCTGGAACAGTGAGGCCTGAAAGACAAGGAAGGAAAACCATTGTGAAGCTTGTCCCTGTGCGTTCCTTCACAACAGAACTCTAACTAGATACACATGCAGTGTGCGTGATTCTGCCTCACCCTTGTTTCTCCACAGCCGAGTAGTGAGCTTGGGACAGCTGGCCTGGAATGATATGGATGCTCTGAGGTCGTATGGGTCCGTGATCGTGGAGGGAGAAGAAATTTGGAACTGGAAACCATCCTCAAGGATCCAAAAAGGCTCTGATGGCATTTCATGCTGATAGAATATTGATCCAGCATCCACCTGTTTGCACATGAGTAAGAAGAGAAATTATGATGGAAGGAAACCAATAAGGTTGACATCATTTGCTTAAAAAATATATATTCTTAGGCCCTTCTTGTCAGAGCAAGCCTCAGAGGTACACCTGGCACAGTCTAGTGGGACAACCTCCTAGATAAGTATGCATAGAATTGGAGCTTGTTTTGCATTTGGTCCTCACAAGTGGGACCCAACAAAAGTTGCACTGTGGAGTACTTCCTTGCTCCGGGTTCCAGCCATTCCATTCCATTCCCCCAGCCAGGCGAGTCAGAAGTTGGGAATCCAATCCCCGGTTGGATTTCTGTAACACGCTCTACGTGGGGCTGCCCTTGAAGACAGTTCGGATACTTCAGATGGTGCAAAATAGAGCAGCCAGGTTGCTGACGGGGAGTGGGTGTTGTTCTCATATAGTCCTCTACCAGCTTCACTGGCTTCCCATCGAAGTCCAGGCTCAATTCAAGGTGCTGGTTATTACCTATAAAGCCTTTAACAGCTTGGGACCTGGCAACTTAAAGGAATGCCTTCTTCCGTATTTGCCCCCTTGCCCCCTGAGATCGGCAGCAGAAGTCCTTCTCTGGGAGCCCTCCCTGAAGGACATTAGGAGGGTGAGTACCCGGAGGAGGGCCTTCTCTGCGGTGGCGCCCCATCTCTGGAATGCGCTCCCCAGAGAGGTCCGCCTGGCACCGTCATTATTTGTTTTTCGGTGCCAGGCTAAGACCTTTTTATTTCAACAATATTTCAAAAACTTTTAATATTAGCCATATTTGTTTTAATCTGCAGCCAGGGTGGATCTGGAATTTTATTTGTATCATGTCTCATATTATTATTCTTGTGTATTTATGTAAGCCGTCCTGAGGCTCTGCGAAAGGACGGCATAGAAATATTCTAAATAAATAAATAAAGCTCGGAAGGGTTGTTCAGAACATCTGGAGGACACCAAGCTGGAACATTTGTCAGCCCTGAGTTAAAAAGCAAAGCCGCCTCTAGCAATGTGCACGTTTTCTCTTCCCGCTGACTTAAACCAGCCCCATCACGTCTTCAGGAATACAATGCAGATCGCTTGGGATGCTCTGCTGTCCTTTGTAGGTGCCTGGGGGTGTCCTGAGCTGAAGAACCTTCGATCGGGTCCACTGGGTGAAGAAGCATCCTTGGCCAGCCGCACAGCGCTCTACCACTGATCGAAGGCAAGGTCATCTAGAAAGGAGGCACATCGAAGGAGGAATGCTCTCTAGCCCTACCTCTGCCTGGGTGAAGTTCTGAAGTTCTCCACCAGCCTCGCCCTTCTGGATGTTCAGCAGCTTGCCAAACCGCGGCGGCTGCTTGATGATGTAAAATAAGGACTGGCCCTCTTCGTTGTCATTGGTCATTGCTTTCAGGTTCTGGGTTCTTATTGGCTGAGAAGAACCTTTAAAAGGAAGTGCAAATAAGTGCTTGTCATTCGAGAGAACTGCCTGGCGCTGACACTTTATTCTTTTCGGTGCCAGACCAAAACCTTTTTATTTTCCCAACATTTTAAGGTTAGACTGTGTGATTTTAATTGGGGTTTTGTTATACAGAACTGATGCTGTGCTTTGTTTTATTGTAAGACCATCCCTAGACTATTTGGTCGTGGACAGTACAGAAAAGTTTAAAATAACACAAGCAAATAAATGCATAGGGTGTGAGGAATGTTTTGCCCTAGATTTCGCACATAAAGAAAAAGAGCACGGATCTCCACAGTCACACTAAGATAAATCTCTAACATACAGCAGGAAGAAAACCTTTGCAAGCTTAAACCAGAATAAACCCAGAGCAGATTTTAAGGGAGGGAGTCCAGTCTAGTCTTCCCCTGCTGTGCTTGGTTCATATATGCATGGAGTTGTGCATTTATTTTTTGTGATTCTGGACCTGCAATTCCAAGTGGAAGAGTCTGGATGTGCATTTAGCATGCTCCGATGTGTCCCAGAAGTCTCGGGAGTATCCCAGAAGCCTAGAGAGGACTACCACTCCCCAGGCAAATATCTAGGCTGCCTCCAATGGAAATTTCCCACCCGTTTTTTAATGTCCCACACCCTGATGGGGCAAATTTGCTCCTTGCAGATAGCATACCTGGGCACACAGTCAGATCTTGCTTGTTCTCCAGAGTAATGACCACTTTCTTTTGGGCCTTCACAGAGAAGAAGTGTCCAGGCGACATGTTCTCTCCATCAGACACGTCAAAGGAAAACCCTCCATCCAGAGGACCTGTGGGAAGGTCAACAATGGGAAAGTAGGCTAAGGCTGGCATGCAGGGGGAAATTTCTACACCAACATCTCCTGACTTTGCCATGACTACTCACGCATCACCCACGAAGAGGAGAAAAGAAGACCAGATATGCACACAATTCCATATGCGAAATGGAAGCCAATATAAAAATAATGCTGGTCACAGGGGTCAGCTTTCTCAGAGATCTCTTCACGAATACCTACACACACACACACACACACACACACACACACACACACAAACTGACGACTCAGGAATGTGCAGACTCAAGGTCAACAGTCTTACGGCGAGTTCTTGGAAGGAAACAACGCCTGTCTTTTCAATTTCCTGAGCCTTCACCTCTCTAGTCCAATGGATCATTTTGGATGCTCTCCAGTTTTGCATTGCATGTTGGGAAGAATCCAACAGGGTGTTTATGGCTCTGCTGATTCTTTTCCATGCATCAGTTCCTTCCACAAATGGTGGTTCTGGCTGATTTTGTCATGGAAGCCGGACCAGTACCTCCCCCAAGGGAGAAGAACAATGTCTAGAGGAAACCCCCACAAGAGTGTAAATGCAGTTTCTGGAAGGAAGCAGGACTGCCTTTCCTCCTTTCAGAAATGAGCATGGATGTTCACATTTTGGATTGCCCAGAAACTGCTAACTGGACAGTACACAACAGAATGAGTGGAGAACAAAGGAATCTGCAGGGACAAAAATACCGGGTTGGATTCTGCCCTAAGGGTTACCTGACAACCTCAGGTCCCATCTCTCCCTTCTTAAAGGGGGTCTTTATCTTCAAACTGGACTTGGCGAGTGAAGACACCTTCTGAGAGAGGACAGTGCTCTGGGGAAGACCTTTCTTCCCAGTGCTGCCAGTCTGTGGACACCTCTTCTGGGCAGGACCAGGTTTCTTGTCCTTCTTGATTTTAATTTTATCGCTTAAGATGGTTTGTCCCTATTATTTTTAGCTTTCTGCAAGGGGACGTCCTGCCCTCCACCACTACCAACGCTGGAGTCCAACAGGGTGTGTCTTTGCTTTATTTTGGAGCTCAGATCCCACCTCTACCCTCTGCTGAGGTTCTTGGCCAAATTCCTGCTTCTTCAGTCCCACCAATTGCCTTGTGTGTGTTTCGGGATGTTGTGCTCACCATGGTGCCCTGCGGTGCACCATGTTTGATCCCCTTGCCATGGTGCCAGATGTATCAGCTGACCCCAAAATTTTGGGCACTCCTGGCTCAATACTGAGCCAAGATGAACCAAAGGTCTGATTTGGTATGAGGAATTGTTCTGTGTTGTCCGTCCTCTCTGCATGGAGCACCCCCTCTTTCGGTTACAAACCTTCATGGACAAATTGAACCGTCCGGTTGTTGATCTGGGCCTGGGTGAACCGCTGGACGACGTTCCCCGCTGACAACACAATCTTCCCATTGAGCGGAGTCCTGATGGAATAAACCACTTCTTCTGGAGGGTTGTCCTCATCCTCGCTTCGGAGAAGGTCAGGAGTAATTTCTGCTGTGCCACCTTCTTGGATCTGGCAGGAAGGGTCAATAAACCAGAGGAATGAATCACTAGATGCCCACCAAAGGTGCTCCTGAATCACATGTGGAGATCCTCAAGCAAGACCCTGGTTCTGGTCCCACTGCTGTAGAAGTGTGATGGATGGACACACGAAGGAGAGCATGCTCCCAAAAGAAAATATGGATGAATTTGTGTTGCCCCAGGACTCACACCAAGACACCCCCCTTGGGCCTTCCTCCTCACCCCACACTCTCATCTCTCCTCTTCTTGGGCTAGGTCTTTCCAGCAGCTTTGCTGGAAGATGACTTGGTCCACCCCCCTCATCGCTTGATCTCACCCCTTCTTTGTGTCTAGTCGTCTCTGGAGGGTGTGCGTGCCCTTAGGTTGACTTGCTTTTCTGGCTCACTCCGGGAGTGGGCTAAAAACACTTTGCATCAAATAAATAGATAAACATGGCAGAAGGGTTAGCTTTTCTGGTTGTATTACTCATGTTCTTGTAGGCATTTGTCCCTTACTGGTTGAAAAAGCTGAAAAGGGAATTTGTGTTTCGGTTAGAAATACAGTAAGAAAATATAAGAGTCCTAAGGGTGCAGTTGTGTGTACATTTTGGCAGAAAAAACCCGACAGTTGCTCTCATCCCTACATCCAGTTGTGTGGCTTCGACACGCTGAGGATTGCTGGAGTGTTTTATGTACAAACATGCATTCTCACTTTAATTGTCAGGGATATTTCTTTAAAGATGATTTGCCAATATTTTGTGAGTTGGTATTATCTTATCATTAAAAAAAAAATCAGATGGATTATTCCATTTTAACATGAACTATTTGCAGGCGTTTGGCTTTTGGCTTGACTTTTCATTTTGGCATCTTGACTCGATCAAATTGTCAAACGGTTGATGCTTGTTCTACATCATTTGATCATTTTTGTCAGTTCCAAGCTGCTTTGAGGAGAGTGATGCAGAAAGACTGTGCCCATTAAAAAAAAAAAAAATTCAAATGACATCACGGTTGCACCTTAACAACCAGAAGATGTAGTGTAATCTAAGCCCCACCCTGTCAGATAAATGAAATGTTGTACCCAGTTGGCAAGGTAAACAGAAATAAACACACACACACACACACACGTTCATGCCCAGCTTTGTAGAGAACACTAAAAATTCCAGTTGGTGACATTTTTACATAGTAACTGGCAGAACACAGCGATTTAAATCCCGGAATAACTTGCAGCCAGAGTAGCTAAAGCAAGAGAAGTTTTTTAATGGTAATTTATTATGTGCTATTGTATTTCAATGTATTTTATCGTGTTGTAAGCCGCCCCGAGGTTTCGGCAAGGTGCGGCATAGAAATGTTATTATAATAATAATAAATAATAAAAAGTTAGCCTTGAATCCTCCAAACATTTGGGGCTACAACACCTACAACTCCCAGCCAGATAGCCAGGCCTGGGATGATGGGATGCATAGTTCCAAACATCTGACCAGGACTTGGCTGTAATCCCTGATCCATGGGAATAGCTCTGCCTGTCTTTAGCTCCTCAAACTGTTGAAGCATCTTCAAAGGCCCGCCTCCAAGAGAAACAAGGTTGGTAACGACAGCAGGGGCTTCTCAGCGCTGGCACCCTGGAAGTGCCCTCCCCGGGAAGAATTGCCTGACACCTACACAGCCATCCATTTAGCAGCAGGAAAAGGCCTTCCTTTTCTCCCACATGCTTACATTTCCATTATTATTACCATCGTTGGCCATGTTTGTACATAAAAGGTACAGGTTGCCCCTTGACGTGAAGCCAGTCATGCCTGACTCTCGGGGGCGCTGCTCATCTCTGTTTCCTGGCCGAGGGAGCCAGCGCTTGTCTGCAGACAGTCTCCGTGGCCACGTGGCCGGCATGGCTAGACACCGAGGTGCAGGAACGCTGTGACCTGCCCACCGAAGTGGCACCTTTTCATCTGCTTGCCTTTGCATACTTTCAAACTGCAAGGTTGGCAGGAGCTGGGATGGAGCAGCGGGAGCTCACCCCATTGTGCAAATTCGAACCGGCGACCTTTCGATCACCTAGCCCAGCAGCACAGCCGTTTAAACCACTGCGCCACCTGCAGTCCCCTCTGTTTATACATATTATACTGTTAAGTGAGCAATACAGCAATTCCAGAGAGGCAGTGAAGCCTCCACAGACCAGGGAAACCAGTAGGGCTGTTTTGAATTCCAGTTAGCCCAGTGGCAGACTTCGGCAGCTGGTCAGGCCTTGTTCCTCCCAGCTGCAGTCTGTTGCTTTCCAGGGTTTTGCATATTATCTTCCCACCATCCTGAAAGGCTGAACTGCCTTTCCTACGGCTTAGTTACTGGCAGTAAATACTTGAAGCCAAATATACTAATATGTGGGGCCACACCCCTTCTCCCTTGGCTCCACCCAGCGCTGGAATGCACTCACTGAACGCTTCTTTGAAATGGAATTCGGCCCTGGGGTTGACAGATGGCCGGCCTCACATCTCCTTAGATAGGACAAGAGAAAGCCTTCAAGGGAGGTGACCCCAACTGGAATCTCACTTCGTCCAGGGATTCGTCAAATGCCCGTAGTGAAGCTACTTTCTGTCAGCCTCAGTTGTCCCCATCTGTAGAATGGGTGCATAATAATGCCAACCAACCATACAGGGCTGTTGACAGGAGCACCCCGAACTATTTATTTATTTAGAAATGCAAAATGTTTCCTTCATTCAAGCCAGTTGCTCCTCTCCTTTCCCCGCACCTGCATCTGCTAATTCTGTTTGTTCTCGAATGGCCCCAGCATTGTTGTTGCCTTTTGTCATGCAAGCTGGCTTGCAAACAGGTTATTCAGACACCAGGGCGTGTGACTCAAGGCCCAGCTGCCTTTGGCCCAAGCAGCTGCGCTTGTATTCAAACAAGGCACACCCAGTTTGTGTAGTCAGAAGCCCCACCTTGAACTTCTCTGCTTGCTCAGAGCAAACACGCCTAGATGCTGCCTTGTGTTTCTGGACTTTGGCAGCCGGAGAGCGGTCTTTGGAGGGTGCACATTCACCGAGAAGCTTTGCAATTTGTGTTCCCCCTTGGTGACTTCTCTGCCCTTTCTGCCGGAGAATCCAGAAGAAGAAACTCCTAAGCTGGAGCCAGAAAGGATGGCTTTTGCCCCCTCCTTCTGCTCTAGCTGCTTGGGTCAGTCATGCTCACAGGATTTAGTCGGACCCTTCCAAAGATCTGCAAGGAAGGTGCGGGAGATCTCTTGCGGAAGAAACAGGACATTTTGTTTACAGTCTCCAGTAGCCTTCTGGTGGGATCCCAGTTTTGAGAAACTGCTAAGTCTTTGCTTCCATGGTCCGCTACCCAAAATGAGGGCTGGCCTGGAGTTCTGCTTGCCTGGAGTGAAAGACAAGATGGGGCTCCAGTTCTAGGGTGTCCAAGTCCTACTCCACAGAGGACAGTTTGCCATGCTATGGTGCCCCTTCTGGAGGGCCTCTTTTCAGCCTCACTCCAGATTAACAACAAGGCCTTGAAGATCTGCACTGGTTCTGAAACTCAGTAGGTGACCATGGACCGGTCTTGCGCTCGCTCTCTCTCCTTCTGCCTCAGTCCACCCCTTTTTTACCAGACTGTCATGAAAATGGCCAGCGGAGTGGGTGTGGGTGGGAGGTGGGACATATTCTCTTCCCTGAATCCTTAGCTGAAAATGCAATCTGACGAATCAAATTTTGTGGTTGAGAAATCAAGGAATTCCCACATGTGTCCTGCAAACACATTTCTTTCTGTTGACACAGCGAAAGCATCCCAGTCATGGAATGAATTGTGAAGTATTGCAAGATGAGCGCTCTCTCTCTCTCTCTCTCTCTCTCACTCACACACACACACACTTAAACAATGGAATCTCAAAACCATGACCCCCAAATGATCCAAAAAAGCATCTGTCAAACAATGAGATCATGTGTTATGACAACATCGGCCTGGTTTGCCACCAGTGTTGTGTTATCTTCATGATAATTTTCTTTGTTTATTTTTCTTCTGTCTCAAGAGCAACACGCCTTCTTCCACTCGTCTTTCCTAGTCCCATCACATCCTTTCGCCAACCTCCACTGACTTGTCCCCGGACCAGCCGGTTGGCATAAAGAATCTAATGCTCTTGGGAAGAGTTTGTTTGATGCAGTGCTGTGGAAACATCAAAGAACGCTCTGTTCTTCTGGAGCAGAGATGGGTTTATTTTTGGATTGAATGAGTGCAGTGCCCTGAAGGGAGGATGCGTGTATAAAGAAACTCCACATCAACACACTGCTGTGATGCTCTCCCGTGCTAGGAGAGTGTCCAGTCATTGTTCCCCGACAGATGCTATTCTTCACTCTGGACGGCAAAATGAGTGAAGCTCGAACTAACTGAGATTCTCTGAGTTCCACCCCAGAGTTTGGTCCTCCCCATTCCCATTTCGAATGCAGTTTTGTTGTTGCTCACAAAGGACATTTTTCTGGTTGTGTATTTAGACAGTGCCCTCAAATGTGGCAGTTTTCCCCATGGACTGAAGCATGGAAACACTTCTCCACTTTTTTTTTGAGGGGGACACACAGTTGTGTGTGTGTCTAAATCAAGTGCATTTTATGGGCATGAGATGAGCTCCGGAATGTCTCAGCATTGACTGAGAGATGTGCCAATATTTAGGAATGCAAATAAAGCCAGTTTTGGTCAAAACGTAATCCAAACCGCATGCTTGCACATCCCAGTTCTTGAGGGAGCATTACATTGCTGATTAAGTCGAGGAGGACTCTGCTGATGCTTGTGGGTCACTCCCACATCTTTTGGGTTGTCTAGTTCTCACCAGCAGCAGATAAAGGGTCAAGCTTGTGTCTGGACTGTACCACATCAGGCCTCAGGGGTGTGTTTGTGGGAAGTCGTGATGGAAGATTCCTCCATACCATGAAATCATGACCATAGAAAACTAGCATGCCAGAGAGAAAGGGACCAACCACACGCGTGATGCTTCGCCGCTGAGAGTGGTACAGTCTGTCCCAGAAATTTAGAACTGGGTCACCTTCGGAGCTCTGAGTTCTGCTGCAAGGATAGGGTAGAATCCAGGTGAAAGGTTTTGTTAATCAAGGCTAGTATTCTCAATTAGATGCACCAGGGGCTTTCTGGGGCTTTTATTCCCTGTCTGCCAGCAGGACAGGGCCACACGCCAAGAGAGTGCTTACTCCTTAAAGAGATGTAAAAAAATAGAAGCCTCTGGGATTCTGTAGTCGGAAGTTGAGAACAGACTTGTTGTTGTGTTGCCCAGGTCTGAAATGGTAGCCTGCGAGCCTTTCTTGACTTCCCTAGGAGCCAGCCACATCACACTCAGCGAGACTGACTTCCGAGGTGGCCTGCCTAAGCTTGTGGAATGCAAGCATCAGGAAGTTTCAAGCCCAGACTACAAGCTTACGCCAGAATTTTTTATCTCTGTGAGCTCAATTGCCACCGTCAGTCAGTCCTGGAAGCTAACCGGACTCATCAGATATTTTGGGTGTGTCTTTTTGAATTGCATGCATTCAGCTTAGACGTAAGATGCGTCCAATGCCTCCTTGAGGCAGAGTAACTTCTAGAGACCTGGAGCTAAACACCTGTGGAGACTGACAGGTCCGGCAGCATAGATTGGATTTTCCAACACGGCACCCCTAAACCCCAAAATAGGGACAAAGGAAGGAGAGCAATTCAATGACAGTTTGATCACATGTGGAAGCAAAAACGCGATTTGCCCTGCCAAATTATGGGCGATAGATTGAGGAGCTGAGTTAAAAAGTTGGTGGCAAGGGCTGTGGGGAGAGCAGAATTTTAAGGTAACTTCAGTGGGAAGCCCCCGGGCACATCCCGGAGACATGATTGCTGTCCTCATGACAGAAAACTACTTATTTTTAAAGGCTACCTCGAAGTTATAGGGTGGACTATATTGCCACCTCGTGGCCAAGTTTTCATCCTGCAAGGCAGAAGACGGAAAAAGTAAACCGAGAGATGCTATTTCTGGGATCCATTCTAGGAACACCAAAAAGGCTGTTTCCACCCAGTGCCCACATCTGACTCAAAGACGGGTGGAAAAACTGCACAAGAATACATCGGTTGCCCCATCTTTCCTCCACTCTGCAGCTGCCCGCAATTAACAGTTTTAACAGCTGGACCTCAGAGCTGAAATTCTCAAGGACGGCGGCTTTCAGTTCTCCTAAAATATGAGTGTGTAAGAAAAGCCCTTCTGAATCAGACCAAAGGCTGATCTAGTCCAGAATTCTGTCTTGCCACAGCAACCAGAAGCCACAGGTGCAGGAACAGGCTCTGCAACTGGTGTGCAGAAACCTTTAACAGTGCAGAAAATAATCTTGTGCGGACAAGAAGCCAAGCAAGGTCAGGCTGGGTTGAAATCTGGATGGGTGACTTATGTGGTGAGCTGCCCAAAGAGCTTTGGCTATGGGCAGTATAGAAATGTAATGCAGCAACAACACCAGCTTGAGAAATAGCCAGGGGCCGCTTCCTCCTCCTCCATGAATGTGTCTGATCCTTTTTTAAAGCCTCTCAGGTTGGTGGCCATCACCGCCTCTTAAGGAAGTAAATTCCATAGCTTGAATATGTCCTGGGTAAACAAGCACCCCTTTTATCTGTTCTGAATCTCCCACGATGCATCTTACGGGAAGAGACCATCTCCTAGTATTATGAGGGAGGCCAAAACACGTCTCTATTCCCCTTTTCTTTACACCATGGTATGATTTTATACACCGCCGTCGGGACACGGTCTTCTGCTTTCTCACCAGTTTTCTCTGCTAAACAGTCCCGCGGCTGTACTCTTTCCTCACATGGAAAGCTTTATGTCGGAGTCACACCTGCCTTCAAAATGTCCCTTGGCCACCGTAAATGCCATTTTCTGCACCTTTCCAGCCCTACAATACCCCGTTCAAGCTGCGCTGTCCAGAACGGCACACAGTATTTCAAGGGTGGCTGCCCCGTAAAACAGTTTGACTGTTGGTTCTTTCTCTAATTCTGCCCAGTTTGGAATTTGAGCTCCTCGTGGCCGCCGTGCTCTCGGTCAACATTTTAACTGAGCCATTGGCCACCAGCACCAGAGCCCTTCCTTGATCAGCTGCATGAGTTTGTTTGCTGCATTAGTAGGCAGACTCAAGAGTGACCGAAAGTCACTGGAGAGGTTTTGGGTTGTGGGGAGGAACTTTCCCTTTCCTTTTCGGTCACTCTGGGTATGTTCTGTGCTTGTCTCTCAGTGCAGCACAAAACTACTCCCTTCCCGCTGTTTTGCTCTACCTTTCATCCGAAGGATGTTTTCCCAAAGATGCTGAAGGCATCCTTGAGTTAAGCCTGAGTCGCAGTATTTGTGTGAACAACTTATCCTCTGTGCATGCATCCTTTCCCTTGGGCAGCAGAAGGAAAATGTGTTGTCCCGGTTTTGCATTTTCCTATGAAGCAGAAAATAGCCCTGATGTAAGCGATCGTCTGGCATTGCCCAACTCACAAGAGGATTCCTCTAGCAAAACAATCGGGCTAAGATGTAAGGCAATATAGGGTCAGGACAACCTGGGGCATCTTTGCTGGTCCCAGTTACTCCATCCGCCCCATGTGGATTTGGCCCTGGACGAATGTGTGGTGACATTGTCAGCGAGCAGAATTTGGGATATCATGCATAGCCCTCACCGATCAAGGCGCTCATCTGCTAAACTATTGGCCTAAGCTTGCACTTTCCCCGTTTTGTGAGCCTGGAGCCAACACAAGGTAGCTTTTGGTCAGGTCTTTCAGTGGCTGGTTTTCTGGTAATTGAATATTCCATTCAGTTCAGTAGTTTGGATCTAAAGGCAACACACTCTTTTGCAGTAGAGTAGGAGTGGCATCCGTCTGCTACTCCTTGTACTGATTTCTTTTCATCTCAGCTCAGTGGATGGAGGAGCAACAATGCCATTTAGGGAGTATAATACACCAGCACCTGCTGATCACGGTCTCTCGTTTCCCTTGCCGCTCCCCCGGGATTTCTACGTGCACTTCAGCAGGGGATCATATGCATACAGCAGCTGCTGCCGGCGTTAACACAACCCACCCAGCATTTTCTGCATGCAGAGGAGGACACAGTCCTTCCCAAACAATTCTCTCCTGAAAGAAGCGGCTTCTGTAAAAGCTACATCCGTCAAGGCCACGTGAATAGATTTGCTCCCTCTTCAAATTTTGCACAAGTTCCTTTCTTCTCCCCAAATGCTTAAAAAAATCAAAAATCAAACACCAAGTAGAGTTCTGCCAATGTGTTTGCTCAGTATTCTCTAATGTTGACTTGGTGCCAACCAACTGGATGTCTGTGAGCTGCTCCTGGCCCCGTGGCCAGTTTTGTGGGCACCCAATGACCTGGGATGCCACGGAACCTGCTCGTGCGATTTGGCAGTACGGCTGTGGCGGAGCTTCCTCTGCATCGAGGTGTGCAGTGAGTAGCCACCTGGTTTTAAGCCACAGTGGCATTCCCAGAAGGCTCGAGTAGTAAATTCAGTGGCACTGTGTGGCAGGCTGTGGCCTGAGGTGGACTCCTCTGCAATCAATGTAGGTTTTATGCGTCTGTACTGCTGGCTAGATTTCCACGCTCCCTGCCTCCTCCTTCCGTTTCTGCTTAATGGCTGTGAGAGTTCTCACAGCCCTCGCCCCGATCTCTCCTGCTCTTCCCATGAAAGAGGTACCTGCAGGCCCAGGTTGACCACCAGAACTGGCGCCTCGTCGTTGCTTGGGAGGATGTTAACTGAGACGGTCTTGGGCTGGCTCTGCCGGTTGAGCTCTGAGATGTTGGCGAGCACCGTGAATCTGTCGGCCAAGGTTTCACTCCCATCGTGCACGTACTGGATGCTCCGATGTTCTACCTGAAAGCAAGGAGGACGCTGTCGTAAGGGTGGTGTCCAGTGGTGTAGTGGCACCGGGGTGCACAGGGATGTCCTTTGCCGCCACCACCCCCAGCATTACCACCACCCAAGAATTCCTGCTGTCTGAGCTTAGCAGCATTCTTCACAGTAGTTGCCAGAGAAGTGAGTTCTCTCAGCAACCACGTATTGTTCTTGTGGCAATACAAAGGATCTGGGGGAGGTCTGGTCTTGAATCAGCAATTAAGACCCATCTCCTTTATCCCTGACTCGCTCCAACTGGAGATGAAAATGGCTAGAAATGCTGAAAATTTAATATTGGGCCACCAGCTGGGAGCTGATCCCGTCTTTCGGTTTAGGCTAACCCTTTCCTTAGGCCTTCACTGTACAGGACACCTTCTGAAGAAAGGCTTGCTCCATGCTGCCTTTGAGAGGATTTGGGGGAAAATATTTTCCCCCATTGGCTTTTTGTGGAAAGGTTTTCACTCTTCCTACGGGTTCATTCTTTAATTGGCTTTAAAATGAACCCAAGATGGCATGAGCGGGTTCTGTGCGGGGACCTTGGAGGTCATCAACTGCATCTCCCCTCCTATACTTAAGCCCATAAAATCTAGCTCTGCTCCCTGGGGAAGGAGAGAATCAGTTTTGTTCTCTTCTGTACGAGAGTCTTTTAGGGACTCAAAGAGTGTGATCACGTCCTGCTTCAATCTTCTTCTTCTAGGCTTGACTCCTCCCGCCTTCCCTTTGGTCTTTTCCTTCACCAACCAAGGTGCCCATGCAGTCTCCTTCCTTTCTTTACTCCCCGGCCAGAAGAAGCTGGAAGTTGCTGGTGGGGAGGTGTATCTACTCCTACTTGTGCGTGGTCCTCCCACTCTGGCTTGGGCCCTCAGCCTGGACCTTGGGCCCTGAGGCACACAGACTAGGGCTGGAAAAAGGGATAGAAAAAAGACCGGATGCCTGCCAGCCATTTGAGGGAGCTTCTGGCTTCACCCTGGTGGATGATCCAGGCTTGTGAGCCGGTGTGGTGCGGTGACTGAGGGACTGTGCTGCCAAACCAGGAGATGGCTTCGCTGGCAAAAAGGCCTGCATCCCCCAAGCACCTTCTTGCCCGTCTGAATCCCATCTGCTTGCCAGAGAGGCGATGGTGCACGAGGATTGCACATTGTGCTTCTTTGCAGAAACACGCTCCCCACAGCCCGTCAGATGAGGAGTGCTCTTCTGCAGAATCCCCGGGGATACAGCCCCTTGGCCACCTCTGCTGTGGTGGCGGCTGTCGTGGGGCAAGGTGTGGCCCCAGGAGGTGGCAGGGGGTCCTTTGTGGCCCCCAGCCTTGCTGCGTGGCGCTGCAGCCCACACTTGACTGGTGGAGTGGCTGACGGCTGTGGAGTCACAAACAGGGTCAGGCCAGCACCTAGTCCCTCCTTCCAATCCGTGCTTGAAACAGCCGCCTTCTCCTTACCTCAGCCCAGGAGAAGGCACTTAGTCCGCCCTCTTCAGGTCTCTCCGCGTTCTGGAGAACGCCGTGCTCGGGTGCCTTGAGAACAACGAATTCCACATGGTGAGCAGTGAAGTAAGTGCTGGGGATGTTCAGGATGTCCACAGAGAGCACCTGGGCGCTCCCTTCCGTCACCGTGAAATTGTGGACCTCCAATGGGACAGAAATTGGAAGGATCTCCAGGTCCACCACCAGCCCTTCCAGAGGATCCACGCCATTGGCTGTGACGTCCACGGTGAACTGGTCGCTCTGTATCTCAGGGCTGGAATGCAGGTAGAGGATTTTGCCTTCATTGATGTCCTCCTGGGTGAAGGTCTGGACGGGGTCCAAACTCGGTGGCTCACCTGTGGTCCGGCCATGGCTCACGGCTACCAGGAATCCTGAGAGGGGAGGGACAGTGACTGTGTAGAAGATCTCCTGGGAAGGGATGCCTTCATGTTCAATCTGCAAGATGGGAGAGGAAAGAAAAAGAGATAGGAACAATTAACCTTTGTCCAAAAGAAATGCCAATGCCATCTGCCCATTTTTGGTAGGAATACAGTAGGTGCCCTCCTTAGGTGTTTCTCCATTCCTTTGGGAAGGCAGTTTCCCCTTAGTCCCTCCAATGGCGCCCAGGAACACTAAATGGGAAGCAAATTCCACCCTGTTCACTTGGAGGGCCATGATCCAAAGGCCCCTGAAGCTTCCTTCAGCCAAGGAACCCAACAGTAGGACATTATCCGTCACAGGCCCCTCTCCTGTGCCCCATGCCCTTTGGCCCAGATTTTTTTCCACAAAGTGCCAGGATGAGAAACATACAGTCCTCCAGATGTTGCAAGCCACATCTCCCATCAGCCCTAGCTCAACTAGCCAGTGGGAAAGACCAAAGGAAGTCACACTCCAACAACATCTGCAGGACTCCATGTTCCCCTTCCCTGTGGAACAATGAAGAAATCCTTTCCATGTGCATTTTTCAATAGTGCATTTCTTTCTAGTTTGCCTTCCTGCGCGTACTTGTATTCTTAACATTCCTGTCCCCATCCTTCCCAAGCCTAATGCCTTCCAGATGCTTGGGCTGCAGTTGTCAGAAATGCTGGGAGCAGGGGTCAAAAGATCTCACATGCACCAAGCTGGGGAAAGGTTGCTCTGCAGAACAGACACATGAAGTTCTTTCTGCCACTGTAAATCTTACACTGCAGTTGTGCACTGGGAGCAGCGATGGACCCTGACTTCGTTTCTGCTCATAGCGCATGCACACATATTCCAGTCCCAGTCCTGAACACAGGAGCAGGACGGACTCCAAACAAATATACAGAGAAATGCTTCCTTTCCTCTTCCAAAATGTTTTTAAAAAAGAGGAACATGAAAACAGGAGCGAGTTGAAATGAGCTTCAAAGCGATTTTCCAAGAATCTGAAAATGGCTTTTGAATGGACATGTAGAATTGCCCTGCAAGAGTCTTATGGGGCATCTACTTTCTGGGATTAAAGACCCCCCTCCCACACACATATTTCTACGAGTGACTTGGGACAGAAGATTGGAAAGCAGGATGCTGTCCTTTTCTGGACCATTTTTGATCTCAGTGTTGTTTGATTGAGCTCAGTGTTGTTCACACCGACTGCCAACAATTCCTCAGGAATTCAGCCGGAAGATTCTCCAGCTGTACTTGCAGATAACGATGAGTGAACGTTTTGCATGTGATTTCTTAACAGCAAGCAGAGTTTGGCAAGGCTTGGGAGGGAATGTGGGGGTCTTCAGGGAATGGGCTGGCAGCTGCTCCTGCACTGAGCACAGGGACTGGACTTGATGGCCTGCAAGCCCTTCTCCAACACTATGTTTCTAAGTGTGCATAGGACTGATGTCCACATTTTATTATTTAACAAAACCCCCCGATCATAATCATAACCTTTCCCTTAGCATTCACGCCATAGGCTGTTTCGACACTTCTTCCCGTGTGGACTAGGGGAAATGTCCAAGCCTGAGGGAAGGGTAGCAAGCAAGCAAACAAAAAAATGCCAGGAACATGCAACTTACCAGCAAATAGTCATTCTTAATCTCCACAGCTTCTCCTTGGAGGATGTGTATCCTCTCATGGTGAACAATGTTCAGAGGGCTAGGACGGGAATCTAAAAATATGGTGACTTTCAGCACGTCCTCCACAGTGACCTGGTTGGCTTCAATGGAGAAATGGATGCTATCCTGAGTATTCCTGCTCCCGTTGTGATGGTAAAGGACTTCTCCTGCTAGCAGGTCCCTCTGGGTGAAAGAGGACACTTCCTGCCCTCCTCGCAGCACGACTCCCCATTTGGGCGAGGCTACGATGCGGAAGAGGATGTCTTCATCATTCCGGATATCCATGTTGGTCTCCAGGCTGAGGACAGAGGAATCGATGGTCCCTTGGCTGCCCTGATGGATGACTAAGCTCGTGGTGTGCTTGTTGATTTTGATGTACGGGTCTGAAGCTTGCACTTCCAGCAGAGCTGCAACCTGGTGCTGTCCATCAGAAACCTGGAACTGGATCCAGCCTCGGTCAGCTCCTGAGTGGACAAAGAGGATTCTCTTCTTCCGCAGGTCATCCTGAGTGAAGCGGTACACCTGGCGACTCCGGTCATCAGCAGCGATGATGCTGCCGAAAAGGATGTCCTTCCGGACAAAAACCAGCTGTGTATCAGAGAAGCCTGAATCCTCATCAATGAAGGCAATGTCATCTGTGGTCATCAGGCGTTGCCCGTTACGCACCACATTAAAGACCTTGTTGCCCACCTGGACAGGAGCATGGTTGTTCTCGGGTTGAATAGAGACTCTGAAGACACCTCTCACATCCTCAGGCTCCAAGTCAGAGCTCCCCTCATCCTGCTTGATGGCCACAAATGGGATATCATCTTCGAGGGTCTCGGAACTATCATGCTGATACCAAAGGCGGCCTTGGAGAATATCTTCATTGGTAAACCTCGTTATGACCTCCTCACTGGATGATGAATCCTCAGATGTTCTCCGTATCAGCTTCCCATGGGTTGGGCCATCTATCACTTCGTACGCGTAGTTCATGCTGTTTGTGCTCTTGATGAACAAGTGGTCTTTGGAAATGATGGCCTGGCCTCCCTCTGGAATGGACAGAAGAACGTTGGTCAGAGTGGGGGCATCTGGATCTCCCCCAATCTCTATTCTGTAAGTGTATACGGGGGAATAATGTTCTCCAGACATGATGCGGAACTGAAAGCTATCCTCGGTTTCCTTTGAGTCTCTGATGGTTGCAGCGTAATGCAGCTGATGTCCTTGCAGATCCTCCTGAGAAAAGCCAAAGCCCTCTGTCAGCCGAAGGCCACGAAGCTCAAGGTTTCCCTTTTGGGGTGGTTGAATTATGACATAGTGGAAAGAGTCTGGGCTGGAACCTGGCTCCTCTAAAACCGCCTCCATTAAAGCAGAGGTGATGTTCTTCTCTTTCTCATTTTTCATCTGGAGGGGAATGAGAGTCTTCATCCTGACTGTGGCTCTCTTAATTCTGATGAGGAATGTGTTGTTCCTCAGAATCTTCTGGCCCACTTGGACTGTAAATGGCAGCTTTTCAATCATGTCTTCTGTCCGGTGTTCGTCATCTGTGCTGAAGTATTGGATGTGCCCCTGCTCAAGATCATGCTGGTAGAAAGACTCTACCTTCTTCCACTCTCCTCCTACGGTTCCTTGCTTTTGGAGCTCACCATACTGCAGGGGCGCAGTTAAGCGATACAGAACGGGCACTTTCTGCTGGACCGCATTGGTTTCCACAGAGAGGTTGGCTGTGGTCACTGGAACAACGCCTCCTTGTGAGACAAAGAGACCTGTGTTGTTGCGTACCTGGATGTCTGGTTCCACAGCAACCACCCTCAAGGTGGCCACTGGACTCATGACCATGCCATCATTAACTTGGAGAATGAGTGTTGACGTGGGCCCATTTTGGTGGACATAGGCCACATGGCCGGCTTCCAGGTCCCTACAGGAAAATTCCTCAATTGGGACTCCAGGATGGAAGTCATATTCCACATAACCTTCTTCCATTCTCTTTCCACCAAGCAGCTGGAATCGTAAGCTGTCGCAAGGGGAGTCATCATCAAGCGCTTGAATGATTTCTGGGGTGAGGTGCTTGCGTGTGTGCTCCAGAATGACCATGCGGTCTCCGTGGGGAAAGTTCACTTCAGGAGCATCGTTGACTGGGTTGATCTTTATAGGCAGCAAATATATCTGACCTTGCCACAAACACTCAGGAACCTCCCCCCTGGCTGTGACGACCACCTCCAGCAGCAGCTGGTCCATGGGCCCCTCAGAGCCATCGTGAACATACTTGACCTTCCGATTCACAATATCCAACAGAGTGAACTTCCTTTTGTTCCTGACGCGGGAGAGGTCCAGTTCCAGCTGTCCATGCCTTGGGTCTGCGGTGACACTGAAGAGAACTTGAGATTGCCTGATGTTGGCACTGCTCAGGTCAATGGTGGGCTGGGTGTGCCTCCACTCCAGGAAAGCCGTGCCTCCTTCAGCAACAACCAGGGGACTGACGTGCAGCAGTTTGGTGAAGTTAGTGAAGATGGGGGGAAGACTAGGGTCAGGGAGACAGGTCTCCATAAGAGGGCCATGCCAATGGTCTGGAGGAGAGCTTGTGGTGGCCTCATCCTGCTCATAGGCAACTTCATAGTCTGAGTACTGGTCCAGTTTCCCACAACCTGCTGTGATGTCCCTAGTGATGAGAGCATCTTGCAGGCTCCTCTTCTCCTGGTTTATTCTCAGATCTTCCATGCAGCCAACAAAGGAACGATTGAAGAACTCGTTGCCAGACAGAAAAGCTAGCCCACGCTCTCTCATTCTGTTGGCGGCCTTCTCGTTCAGGCCTCCCACAAACAGTGACCCCTGGAGGTCAAGGTAACTGTGGATTCCCTTGTTGGAAGTCTGTGAGGCATAGTAATCCACAAGGATCTCAAACTTCCGGACATCCATGTAAACTTTGACGTAGTGGTCCTGCTCATTACTGATGTAGATATTGTTGTGGAGCACCACGAGGCCATTTCCCTTCTCCACCACCCCTCTCAAGCGCCCATCAAAAATTTCCAGGTAGAAGAAGTCATTTTCTAGCCCAGAATGGTAGATGAGAGGGGCTTGCTTGACGTCCGTGGTGATCACAAACTCAATGGTTCCTTGGTTCCGCGCACTCCAGCCAGGGAAGGCGATGTATGAGCTTGGTCCCAGGAAGCCGAGGGGGTCCTCGGGCCCAGCAGAAAACTCTACACTGCACCCCTCTCGGATGCCATGGGATCTCTGAGTGCTGGTGCCAGAGGCCAGGGCAGAGAGGATATCGTGGTCATTGAAGATCACCATGTGGAGGCAGCCCCTGAATGGCGAACTCACGCCGGTGAGATATGGCAGTTCCAAGCTCCCCATTCCACCAACATAGAGGCCATAGTCAATGTTCAGTTCTTGCACTGGTCCTGGAATTTCCACAGATGCATTGAAGTCTCCATCCACAAGCAAAGTCATCCACCCCTCTGCCACCAAGAGATCAGCATCATGGATCACAAGGTTACTGAGATGCAATCCTGCCGGAGTTCTGACAGTCAGTTCCTCGGGGCCCAAGCCTATCCTGGCCTGAAAAAAAGCAAGACAAATGCAACGCCATCATTGAAACAGCCATTTCTGAATGCTCAAGTCTTTCACACACATTGTCTCAGTCACTCTTACAACAACCCTTTGAGAGTATTTTTTGTATTTTTGTATTTAATGGTAATTTATTATGTGCTATTGTATTTCAATGTATTTTATCGTGTTGTAAGCCGCCCCGAGGTTTCGGCAAGGGATGGCATAGAAATGTTATAATAATAATAATAGCCAGTATTTTCCTCTCCACAGATATCAAGAGCAGGACTAGATCATTCTCTCCATTTCCGTTTGTCTCAGGTCCTCAGTTTTCCAGTCTCAAATCCAGTTCATCGTAAGAATTTCTCCAAGTTTAAGTTCAGTTTCTCTTAAATGTTGAGAATATTTTTACAAATTTCCCTTGAAAATTCCTAACTGCTTTGGAACAGGTTTTTCTATGCCCGATTGCCAGGTATACCCACGTTTTTGCAAACACTTTCCCTAATAAGAGCTTTTTGGGCATTATTTCTCTTCATATATGCAGTTTTATTTATTTATTTACATTTTTGTATCCTGCCCTTTACAGTATCTCAGGGCAGCAATAATATAAATAAGTTTTATGCATTTTTGATGACAGAACTCCAGTGCAAAGTGTGAATAACGAGGGAGACGTTTCAGTTCACACAGGGGCTCAAAAGTCTGAAATTTGCATTAAAATGAGATGAACTGTTTTATAGAGACTGTGATGTTATTAAATTAATGAATTGTTATTATGTGATTGTACTGTTATACATGAATATAATATAATATTAAGCAATATATTGTTATACTATTTTGCATATCACATATGGTTATATGTATTGTGTTCCTTTAACTATTTCTATTGTCTTTTCTTCTTTTTTGCCATTTGTAATCTGCCCAGTGAAAATTTGTTTCTGAGTCAATTAAAAACACAATCAATCGCTCAATCCATCGCAGTTGGAGCTGGACACACATATCTGTGCCTGGCTCATTCTGGGGCGGGGTGAACCTCTCCAAACTTGGTGAGTTTATGCTTGGGAATCCCTCGGTGCTGAATTCACCCCTCCTCACTTGCAATCACTGGCAACGATGACACAATTGTTCCATACACAGGGAAGATTGTGCTCACCTGTAGGATGCCAGCGCGGAGTTCTACCAGGAGATAGTCGGTCTGCCCTGCCGCTAGGAATAGGAGTCCGTTTTGCTGGCTGGTGTAGAATTGCATACGGAGCAGGACAGACGTGTAAGTGCTCACTGAGGGCATCTCCATGTAGCCATCTCCGAAGAAGGACACTGAAAGAAAGGAGATGTTAAGAGATGGGCTCTCAGGCACGTCAGCCTTTCCCAGGGGAGCAGACGCGGAGAATGGTCAACTCGATGCACGGTTAGTTGACGTGCATCGGAGAAGCACCAAGAGTGTCCTGAAAACACATCTAAAGATTTCACATGGTGCTTCTGAACCTGTTTGTCGCCCTGTCAGGAGAGCTCCTAGGCAGTGCAGGGAGTTCGTTGAAGGACTGGAAGGGGCACCAGTGTAGATCAGCTGAAGAGCAATCCCTGGCATGTTTGGGCAGGGAGACCTTCTGAAGGATCCCCCAGCTAGCGCTCTTGGCAGGGGATGCTGGTGATTGTAGGCAGTTAGAGTCAGTGCAGCGAAGGGCCACAAGGTTGGTGGCCGGTTTGCAGGGGAAGTCATATGAGGCAAGACTGAGGGAACTGGGTCTCTTCAGCCTGGAGAAGAGGAGACTCAGAGGGGATCTGTTGGCGACATTCAGGTATGTGAGGGGGTGTCACATGGAGATGGGTAGAGACCTGTTCTCCCCTGCAGAGGAAGGCAGGACACACTCCAATGGAAGCTCAGGGAACCAAGGTTCAATTTGGATGCCAGGAAGTACCACCTGACTGTTAGGACCCCAAGGGTGTGGAATGGGCTTCCACGGGAGGTGGTGGAGGCCCCATAGGTGAGGGTATTCAAAGATAGGCTGGACATGCATATGGTGGGCATGTCAGGAGTGGAGCCGGCTGATGCTGGAGGTCAGACTAGATGTCCCGGGAGATCCCTTCTGACTCGCTCTGTTTCTATGTTTCTATGTAGGTCCTTGTAGGTGATTGTAGAAGCCTGTAGATAATCTAATGTCATTGCCATTGCCCTGAATTCCTCAGAGATGAACTCCTTGCATTATACCAGCACTGAGGCTAAAAGACTTGGCATTCAGGGTAGAAAGGCACAGAAAAAAGTAAAGGAAATAGGAAGAAAATCTAGGTTCCCTCCTTTTACCCCCAAGGGGAAGTTTTCCGGGGGCGGGGGGGGGGGAGGAATTAAAGGGATGAACAAAGCAAAAATCGAAGAAAGCAGCAAACTGTACGGAGCATTATTCAAAGCACACCTTCCAATTTTGGAATTTGCTGCTGCTCATTTGAACATCAGGAGAAGATGATGTTGGCAAGTGGGTTGAATGCAGACTATTTGCAACAATTCATTTTTCCTGTATGAGAGCAGCACAGAAAACCAGACTGGCGGCATTTGCCACTACCTGGAACTGCAATATTGAGAACATGTGAAACATTTACTTTGGTAGTTCTCACAAAAGTTTGCATACCTTTTTCGGCATAGTTCCTCTGCTATATATATATGCAATATATATGTGCAATTTTGCTTCATAGACACACATTTGCAAGCATTTTATCCTAACAGAAGGTGGCTTTGCACATTATTTTCAGAAATATTTGCATGTTTTGGTACACTGCCCCTCCATACATGCAGGTTTGTGCACATTTTTTGATTGAAGAACGGCATAGCAAAACTTGAAGCACTGCGAATTCAGTTCGCCTGTTGATTCAAAACTGCAAAATTCAGTAAGTTGGTGGTAAAATTCTAATTAGACCAATTTCTCCGCATTCCTACAGGTAGCGAAAATCAAGGACAGTGGATTTTGTGTAATCTCTTATTTTTCCTTCATATGAAAGTATTTTAAAAGCTGATCCATTCATGAAGCTCATTCATAATTTGCAAAAAGCAGCTTATTATACATGTTCCATCAAGAAATTGGCCTCATTATCCTATACGTGTTTTATTAGTCACAAGTCCCACTTTGATCAGGGGTTTATTTCCTCTGTGTACAGGATTGCAGGTTTAGATCATCTGGGGCCCCTTTCTTTCTGCCTTACAGCTTTAAAAAAAGCCAAGATAAATCTGAGAGAACGCTAGCCTGTGCAATGCAGAACATCAACACTAGATGGGGTGCTAACCTCTAGGTAAGGCCCTTGAAGAGCATTTTTGACAACCACCTGCTGTGTTGTCTAGAAGCAGATTAGCTGAAGATGAAATGCATTTATTAACCGACTAGATTTATGCCTTGCGAAAGCAGGACTCGCTTAAACTGTGCCAATGCTCAGTCCCTCAAGACAGAAAAAGCAATAGATCAGAAACTTCAATGAGGAATGCACTTCATAGCTGAGTAACCCTGGGAATCCCCAGACAGCAAGGATAAGAGCAGAGCGTGGACACCTTCTTCAGCTCAGGGTTCAAGGAATTCCACCCAGAAGCTTTCTGGGTCCTCACTGCAGCTGTGGGTACGACCAGAGGAAAAGCAGGCAGAGTGGGTCTTTGCTTTGCTTTGCTTTGTTTTGTTGGTAATGAAAAGGGGAAAGTAGCATCTGGGCAAATGTTCTCTCCATCAAAGCAGGTTGGAGTCATCTGGAGTAGAACTGGATTGGAGTAGACTGCCCAGGGATGGACTAAAAGCCTGGACTAAGAGGGGTGGAGGGCTGTATATAACCAGAGGCTCCCCCCCACCCCACAATTAGGGAATAGGAATCCCAACATAGCGACTGCCCTTTCCCATCAGATTTCAGTCCAAATGCCCCTTTCCCTTCTCCCTAGAAACTGTGCCCTGAGAGAGCCTCACCGGAGTTGGAATGCCCCATAAAAATGCCCAGACGGCTGCAGCCACAAACTCTGGCCTAAATAAGAAACTTAAGAGCCCATGTGGTGTGGCGAATAGCATCTCTTCTGGCCTTAGCGGTCCGTTCACCTGCCAGAGGCTCCCCCCGTTTCCTGGCATCAGTGCAGATGATGCTGTCGCACCTGGTCTGAAAAAGACTCCCTCTTCAAGGCCGACATTTCCCCTCCTTCCTCTGCTGTACCACTCGGCTATGTTCTCTCACAGGCCCAGCATCAAGGGCACCTGCCGAGGTCCCATACCCTGCAGGGGCCCACGGACAAGAGCCCCCGGAGCTGTTCCTCCTCTTCCCCACAGCAACTGGCTTGTCTGTCTGCCTGCCTGCCTTTTTCTCTGGTCCAGAAACGGTGCTGGTGGGAAAGAGGAGACATGGGTGCCGTTTCCAGGTTGTGGGCTTTCCAGAAATAAACCCCTGATCCAAGTGGGACTTGTGACTAATAAAACATCTGAGTGAGCAGCAGTGAGGATGAGAAAGAGGTGGAGGACCGCAAGCAGAAGGACACCTGGGCAGTGGGAAGGTGGACTCAAAGAAGGCAGGGGAGCTCCTGAGAGCATCTTTCCTGAGAGCCCTCGACCCTAAATCCTCATCACGGACAAATTTTGCCTGTTCTTTTCCTTCATGCGTGTCCCTCCTCTTGGCAGTGGCTTACAATTCTGACACCTCGGCCTCCTGCTTTCGACAAAAGTTTAGTGGCTGTCAGGGCAGGGAGAGAGAGGGAGGCGTTCCAAAGAGCCTTTCCGTTCCCTCTCACTATGATGCATCAAACAACGTAATGGAACTGGGTCAGAAAGACGAGGAAACATTGCAGAGAGAGCAATTCATCCGCAAGAGCAGGTGTGTCAACAGTGTCAGTCTGTGGGCATGATTCCAGGATTAGTGTGCGTGGACGATCCAGTTCAAGAATCCTGTTCATTCCAGCACAGAGAAAAGATGCATCCTCAGCTCTTTTTCTCTGTGCGAGGGATGCTGGAGAAATGAGGTAGCATTTCTGTGACTCCACCCTGCCAATCTGGGTTTTAGTACATCACCCAGATTCTGCCTATGTGCAAGCCATTAAAAAATAGCACGGTTTTGTACAGATTTGCACTTGTCTGATATGCACGGGCCCTGGTGCACAGCTGCACCCGTGGAGCGAGAGCCATGGACATCCCTGAAGAAAAATGCATTTCGGACAATGAGCCGGGAGTGGAATGAAAGAGACCTGATAATTCATTAAGAAAAGGAAAGAAAAACCGATGGAAGGAATTTATCTGCATGTCCGCATGTCCCACACACACACAAGTGGATGTCAGCGCAATCCTAGTGTAAAGGAAACAAGCCAGATAATGAATAGGATTTGCAACTGATGCAAATTAGGCTCCCGTCATAAATGACAGGGAAGTTCTGCAAAGAAGCTGCAGGTCTGTGCTTAGTTACAAAATGCTTCATTGCCTCCCTTGGCACGTTCCTTTCAGCTCTTGTCAGGGCCATGTGAATGAGCCAGGAAAGGAGGTGGATCCAAAGCCCTCTTTTTCCACTGATACCTTGCCCTCCTCCCTGGAAAACCCAGCAGGAATGGCCGACCCCGAAACTGGGGTTCCTTCCACCCCACAAGGAACAAGTGGGAAGAAAACCTTTCTTAAGCAAACATGTTTTAAAAGCCCGAGGGGATGCCTAGGCCAGTATTCTGGTGCCATAAGAGCAGTCCATATAACATCAGTGCTGAAAGAACTTCATTTTATGATTGATTGATTGTAGGAAAAAGGCAGGATATAAATCAAAGGGCTCAAGGCAGCTGACATCATTCTCCTCCTCCAGCTTATCCCCACAACAACAACCCTGTGAGGCAGGTTGGGCTGAGGGTCTGTGATTGGCCTGAGTCACCCAGTTGGCTCCATGGCTGAGCGGGGACTCGAACCCAGACCGTCTGAGTCCCAGTCCCGTGCTCTTCACCACGACACCACACTGGCTCTCTCAGTTGTGGCCTGGGCCCAATTCAAGGCCCTTGTACTGACATATAAAGCCCTAAACAGCTTGGGGGCCGGCTATCTAAAGAACCGTCTGCGCCCATATACCTACCGCTCCGCTGGATCGGCCCAGGAGGCCCTTCTATGAGACCCACCGCGCAGGGCGAAGGGCCTTTTCCGCTGCTGCTCCCCATCCTTGGAACTCCCTCCCTAGGGAAATTCGCCTGGCGCCATCTTTATTTCCTTTCGGCACCAGGAGAAAAAATTCCTTTCTGGGGACTTTTTAAACACTTCGCCTGAATGCTGGGGCCCTTTTTCTATTCACAGATGTTTTAATTCGTCGTGTTTTAATTGATTTTAATGTGTTTCATTTTGTTAATATGT